GGATATGCAATGAGACCAAGCCTGAAAACAACGATGTCCCTGTCTGTATATCAACTAAATACTCAGCTTTGAGATGTGATCCCGACATATTGAGAACCCTTAGCGCAGATGTATTCGTGAACTGGTCAATTGATGACATTTTCAACAGGCTATATGACATATCCAGATAAAGTAGTTGTTGCATATTTCTAAACGAACCTTTCATAGTAAATTGTCTCAAATCCGTCATGACGAGGGATTCTAAGGAACCAACTGATGTGAGGGCGTCCTCTGACATTTGAAAAAGATTGAAATTGCCTGAAACAATAAGTGTTTTCAAATTTGCCAAGCCATTGAAGGTGTCATGAGAAAGAGAATGGAGATCGTTGTTTGTAAGAACAAGAGTCTGGAGATTAGTTGCCTTCCATGGTCCGACCGCGATGCGACGGATGCCACTTTGATCTACCACCAGGCTGCGGAGAAACCAGGATCTGTCAAACCATTGGGGATCCAATGTCGCGAGGTTATTACGTGACAAATCAATGTTCGTGAGATTCGAGGCGCAAGCGAACGAGGCGCGGGGAAGTGAATTTATTTTATTATAAAACAAACTGAGGGCTACCAGTGCATGTAAGCCACAAAAAGATTCATTATTGATGCTCGATATACGATTCCCTTGAAGGTTTAGGACTTGCAGTTTTTCAAAACCACGAAGAGCATACCTAGGAATGTTACTTAAGATGTTAAAACTTAATGTAAGTTCTTTAATCAGTGGCACATTTCCTTTTTGTACCAACGTTGTGTTCACTGGATGAATGTACTTTATGCCTGAAGAATCCATCAGAAGTCTATCGATTTCAACAGGGCCCATGAACAACCCGACGTCGAAGGTAGCTAACTTGATATTGTTCATGTTCAGAGTACCTATTACTGTGGGCAGATTCCCAAACGCCTTAGGTTCAAGAAACGTCACATTGTTATCATTTACATTGAACTTACGTACAGAGCAATTTCTCCAAGGTAAAAAGTCGCCCTCCTTTATAGATGTAAGTTTGTTGAAGGATAGATCTACTACCGCCATATTCCGCCATCCATAAAAGTTTCCACCATTCTGAGTACTCACCAAAGAGCCAGAGATGTTACTTATCTTGTTGTGCGATAGATTTATTATATATAAAAGAGCATTCTTCTGAAGATAATAGATGGGTAGAAAAGTAATCAGGTTATGATCTAAATCCAAGACCTGCAATTGTGGTAGAGGTTTGAATGTGTCACCGTCAATGAAAGCAATGATGTTATGCCCAGCGTTCAATTTTTTGAGTTGGTTGTAACTCATGAAAGACCAGTTTCCAAGTTCTGTTAAATGGTTATGATAGATAGATAAGACATCTAGGTCATGTGGAAGGTCCTGGGGAACTGAGGTAAGATTGAGATAACCGCACTTAGCGATGTGACGATCCTGGACTGGGCATCTATAGTCTGGCTGTGGTGAAATAAGAGGCACGTCCACTCTTACCTTCTGCACGATACCTCCCACAAAGATTACCATCAAGATCAAGAGTGTTTGCGTCAAGGAATCCATCGTGAGAGGAGCCGTTATGATCGTATTCCACAAGTACACTGAGCTGTTTGTTAAAACCAAATTAGCGATAAAACTGATTTCCAATGCTTGGTTTCTGAATTGAATGTATACATGTGCTAGTTTTGACAATATTCTCGCAGGCACTTAAGTCATAATGGATCAGCAAGTGAAATATTGTATAATATGTATATCAAAATCAATCAAATATACCAGAAGGTCAGTTCCAGCTTTCGTATTTATGAAGCAAGTAGGGTTTTTATACCATTGCTGGCCTCACGGCTGTATCTATGGTTTCAGGAAAAATGGGCATAATATTATTGATTGCAATAAACAATGCAGTTTCTTAAGAACCGTAAGAGGCTTCTTATGACTTTATTGCAAAGTCTCATTCCGACCAGGAAATAACTTGTTTCACACACTTAAATTTAAGTGATTATCTATAATCAGCTATAGTCATTAATTGCTTTGCAATGGAAAGAGAAAGACTTTTATCACAATAATCATGAACATTAATCAGGTGAAGTCCTTGGATTTTCTTATTATGTTCTCATTTTCTTTGTATGACTTTTTCATAATGTCTCTGTTCCGTTATTGCTGAAGTATGAATAAAGTGATGTACCAACAATATCTCTCTCTCTAAATATATATTTCAAAATATACCCTTTCACAACGCAATTTTAAAACGGTTGACGCATTTGTATGTGCTTGTATTCAAACAATTCAACCAGTTGTTTCTGAAAATAGTGTTTGTGAACTGTGGCAGAAGCGTGTCTATAAACGCTTACTTATATTGACCTATTTCACAACGGATAAACCATTCAATAACTAACAGTAAGATTCAAAAATGTTTGGTAGCAAGTGGATTAACTGATTGTTTAACAACAAGTGCTAATTAACCCGCGTTTTAAGTGTTTGTATACTAACACCTAAACATATAATGTTAGTGCATGTGTTTGGATTTCGGGGACAAAAACATGTTAGTAAACAAACGCTTGCAATTTTTTCAGTGTAGTTGGAATATACAATTGACATTAATTGAACTTTACAAGCTCTTTCTATGACCTGATGATAATCTAACTCAGCCTACTCAGATATGACGGGGTTGTGTTTTTCTTTTGGGTCGGGGGGGGGGGGGATAATGACGTAAGTGTACTATATGCTTCACTTTTCCTTTGCTATATAACAAAGAGCTAAGTAAATTCGAGTAGGAATTTGTTGCCCGCAGTTGCCATTTATTTACATGTTAAAGACAAAAAAACGCAATGGTATTTTTTGAGGCGGTTTACCGCCACGTCGTTTCTGAACAAGCCTTAAGCAAGTTAAAGAGGGGGGGGGGGGGGGGGGAGCAATCTAGGGTTGGTGTCCTAATGGGTTTTTCTTCTTTGTCAGGGGAAAGAATTCTGGAGGGCAATTTTGGGGGGAGGTAAATTTTTGTATTCGTTCCAAACAAGACCGCAAATACTTTCAAGGGTTCAACTCAAATGCAATTATCCTGTAACTATGGATTATAGAAATTATTTTAACATTACGAAATGTGTCATTCTCCTCTTGACGAAAGTTGTTTTCATGTCTATCTTTTTCTTATTCTTTCAAGGAGAGCGTTCGGCTTCAATCCGCCCAAACAGCGCTACAGGAAATGATTATGCTTCATACTTTTTCAAGGTAAGCTCATATTTAAAATTTTTTTTTCAATATGTTATCAACTTCGTTAAAAATTAGCACGACTTTCCTTTAAAGTTAAACAAAAATATGATTTATTACTTTTCCGATAGAAAAGAGACATTTTTTTAGACCCCCCCCCTAAATGTTCTTTGATGACGACGCACAGTGGGCCAGGGAGAAACCAATTTTTTCGTTTTTTCTTGCCCAGTTGAAAGATAATACTTTGAAGAATACCTCAGTACAATATCTAATTCCGGTATGCACAATAAGGGTATAAATTTACTCATTCAAACAACAAAATCCTACATATATTCACAGTTTTAGTGCAACAGTGACTTATCTTTATAAATCTTTCAATTTAACATGAATTGTTTATTAAAGTCATTGATATGATATTGCTCTCACATATTCCTGATAGTTCATTTTACTACATGAATGGGTTAAAATTGGATACAAACACGATCTTCATAATATATTATAGGGTAATTCACTGAACAATTTTTTTTATAAATCCAGAGGATATGTTTAGATTTCCAGGGATTTCCGCTTTAATAGTATTACCACCATTTTCTCTCATGATGTCTAAGCTTTTAGTTGTTACCAAATCTAGCTGCCATCTTCTGCCTATTAGTACGTTAGAGCCGATTTTCCTTGCCACATTGCCCCGGAAAATCGGCTCTATGCCATGACACCTCGGCGCGCCCCGGGGTCATAGCAGGATGTAACGTCCCCTTGAGCTCATATAAATAGTTATGTCAATATATCTATATCATTATAATGTGATTTTTTTTTCTTCTTCAAATATTCAGACGAAGCCCGAGGATTGGCAACTGCCCAATGAGCGCGTCGGAGAACTGTTTGGGAGGGCGAGTATTATCCAGCTGCGAGAAACGTTCACACTGGCTGACGCGCTATGTAGAATAAAATTTTGTTTTAATAATTTAAATTTTACGAAGGTTCGGCTACCTGGGCGTGTGCTTTAATCCATAATCTGGACGGCTTTATTCTATTTCGCAATGGCGAACTCTCCCATCCCCTACCTGCTGCAAGCCGGAGATGGCGTGATCCATGAATCTGTATGCATAGATGGTACGCCCAGCTCAATTTCGTCGGGCGTAGCAATCTTCGGCTTGCAGCAAGTTTGGAGGATATCTCAGTGCCCGTGGTGGAGATTATGACAAATTTAATCTGCCAGATTCTGGACTAGGTGTGCGCACGCATGTGCCTGTGTGCGTGTGAAGAGCTGTGCGTCTTGACATATTTAGGTACTGATTACCTCTATATTTCGTCAGAATCTTCATTCTTTGTTCTTTATTTATTATTTCTTTCTTTCTGTACGTTTTTTGCCTTTAGATTTGTTATAAAAAGTACGATTTAATCCCCGTCAATTTGTCACAACCAACTCCCTTGGCCAGGAATAGAAAACTTATGATAATAAAATAAATAATGGTAATAATAATAATAATCATAATAATATTCATAATAATAATAATAATAATAATAATAATAATAGTAATGATAATAATGATGATAATAATAACAATAATACTATTTATATAGCACATATCATAAATATGTCCCGAAGCGATGTAGTTGAGAGAAGGAAAGAAAAGGAATAGGCTAGTCATCAGATAACGTTGGAATTTGTTTCTGAAAGGATATTGACCGCGAAGCTACTGTCATCGGAACATGTGTAGTACAACCATTGGGACTACCCATAAAGATGTTAACATTATATAAGATATCTCATTGTTTTCTTATCGATTTTGTTTGCAGCAATTTCAGGCCAACAATCTGAGTTTGGAGAAAGTTATGCAGGATAGCAAAATGGATGAAACTCAGAAAGCTGCCTTCACTGTTATTTGTGAGTTCTAAATTTAGTCGTCGTCTTGTTCTTCTTCTTCTCCTCCTCCTCCTCCTCCTCCTTCCTCACCTTCTCCTTTTTTTAGCCTCCTCCTTCTGTTCCTTCCTGTCTTCTCCTCTCTCCCTTCTCCTTATTCTTCCTCTTTGTGTCTTTCTGTTATCCTTTCTATCTCTCTGTATCTTCTTTCTTTCTTTCTTTCTTGTTTATATTATTCTTTTATCCAGTTATGAAAATCACAAAAATCAATTGTTCTCTGAAAATTGTGATGTTAATTGATCCTAGTCTCATGGAAATTGGTATCAAATGTAGATAATTACTTTTCTGTCATGTCATGACCTTAAACTCATGGTGCTTCAAGGGTTTCTATATTTCTAAGGTATTCCGGCAAGTTATATCTTAAAACAGTGTCCGCTTATGAATTTTGAATATGACATTTCCCCTTAAGATTTTCTCACAGTTTGAGGGACACAACATAAATACTTTTTACTGTAATGTAATGATAATGTAAATTGAATGTAATGAAACCGTAACTGAGCTGATCTCATCCCATCTGATCATATTCACAGTCAAGAGCATGTGTCAACCTCTTGCGTTCTACGTTGACTCGCTGTACTGGGCCATGAAGGGACTAGGTACCGACGATGACAAACTCATTCGCATCGTCGTAGGCAGATCAGAGGTAATTGGTCATACAGGAGGAATGAATTTTTAAATCAGAAAATATGTAACATTTTGTCACCCCCTTTCTTTATCTCTCTCTCTCTCTCTCTCTCTCTCCCTCCCTATCTCTCTCTCCCCTCCCCTCCCTCCCTATCTCTCTTTATCTTTCTCTCCTTCCCTCTCTCTCTCTTGCATTTATTTTTCCCCCTCTCTTTCTTGTTCTATTTGTAAGTCAATCCTATCTCTCTCTATCTCTCTCTCTCTCTCTCTCTCCCTCCCCTCTCACTCCCTATCTCTCTCTCTTTATCTTTCTCTCCTTCTCTCTCTCTCTCTCTTGCATTTCTTTTCCCCCTCTCTTTCCTGTTCTATATATTAATTCAATCCTTTGTTCCTTTGTATCTTGTTCTTAATGTTTGGTGGTCAAGTTGTTTGAATATTCGACTGCAAAAATTGCGGAAGTCGTAGGTTAGACCCCGTAAAGGGCTTGCAATTACACACTCACATAATCTTATTTACCTATATTGCTTCTCTTCATCAGAATACTCGCGATTCCCTAGCAATTATTTATCTACGATCGGCATATTTTGTATTTATGTATTCATTTATTATTTATTCTATTTAATTATTATTACTATTATTTTATATTTATTTATTTATTCAGTTATTTTTTATTTTTTTTAAAATATTATTATTATTATTATTATTATTTTTTTTTTTTATTTTTTTTTATATTTTATTTATTTTTTTTTTTGGGGGGGGGGGGGTGGGGGTCTGAAGGGGCATATAAAAAGGCCAAAATAGCGATAACAATCTACGAATATTACACCATCTACGAGGGAGCCTCGCGACGGAACGAAAGGGGTTCATTTATAATCTCGCTGACGGATTAAATTAAATGTATTTCTTCAGTAAATTGGTCTAAATAAATTTATTAGGGCAAGTGGGATATCGGACAATTCGTCCTTGTTTTCACGAAGTGACGGTAGTGAGGAAAATCGTAACGCAAAGTGAATGCAATTTTTTTTCACTACCGTCACTTCGTGAAAACAGCGACGAATTGTTTCCTTCCCGCCCTTGGCTACGCCACAATTAAAAAAATTGTTCTACCGCCTTTTTTAATCAGAGCATATCATTTCACCTCATTTTAACCCATTGTCTACTAGAACCGAGTGGTCCATGTATTAAGCCTATAGTGGTGAGAGAATTCAGTGATAATCGGGCTCTTGAGAAGCTTGATTAGGAACCACCGATACCTCGTTTATGATATAGAAAGACATTTTATTTTCTTCCCTTAGAGCCCCCACCGGACTAATAGTAGCTAGTTGCTCCCTCTATATAGAAAATAATGCCTAATCGGTGACCATTGGTCTCACATGATCCTCTTGTTCTTATGTTAATTAAGACCTGAGTTGATTAGATAGCCACCTGTCAGTGATCACCCTGGGTGGTCTAATCCTTCCTGACCAAAACAGACGGGCTTTACATTTATTTGTTTTCCTTTTGAATGTATCTTTGACACCCTCTCTCTCTCTCTCTCTCTGTGCGGGTCTAGATCGACCTGGCTTCCATCAAGACCATGTTCAAGGAGAAATACACCACCACCACCCTGGCCGCCATGGTCGAAGACGATACCAGTGTAGACTACAAGAATGTTCTCATTGGTATCATCAACGCCGATGCTGCACCTACCCCAGCCCCCACCACCACCTAAAGACCGGCTGGAGTCATTCCATTTACCAAGTTAACACGGTATTATAGCTGTACCGTATTATGAAGAAGAACAAAACAAGTTTTAACTTAACCAAGTTCATAATCTCTAAGCTACCTTGTGAATAGCTCACACTAGTAAACCGTGTACTCTCATAACATCACATGCGCTGCAAGCTCTGGACAAGGAGCCAATAATGAAGGTGGCCACTTAAGACAGGTATATACATGTAGATGACCACTAAGACTACACATGTTGGGTACATGCATATAACAAAACTCACTACCAGATGAAGTGGTGGTGTTTCAGTTTACATTTACCTTGATGCCATATTATCCACATGTGAGGTTATGAGAGTACACGGTTAACTACTGTGAGCTATTTATAAGCTGGTTAAGGGATTTAATCTAGTACAGTTAAAAATATGATATTGTCATCACACGGGACAGTATGACACCGTCTGAAATTGCTGAAACGGGTGGTGGAGTACAATCGCATCAAGCGATATTATATAGCGGGGCATGTGCACATAAATGTTACGTATAAAGCTTATTATATTATAAATTCACTGTGCTCAATACAGTCTTAGATACCTCTCTATTATTATACATATACTTACTACTACTAAAGTGACACTAGCAATCCTTATAATCATAATAATACTTAGCATATGTTTTGTTCAAAACAATTACATAATAATATACTATTAAAGAACGTGTACAGTACATAGCAATTTTAGGTTTTATTGGATAAAATTAGATGAGTATTTTAATGATATAGATGTAAATTAGAATGCACTGTGGTTTGATCTCATTTCTGTTTGTAATATTTTGAAATATTCCGAGGGTGTTGTAGAGTTTTGGTCTTTGGAATGTTGTGTAGGATTGAGCAATCATACATCCATGACAATAATATGAACACAAGCTTCATAGAACAGAAGCTCTATAACTTACAGTTAATGCCCATTTATTGAAATACATGTATGGTCCATGGCATCTACTTGATTTCAAGGATACATAACATAGCACACATTCACACCGACAGCAACAAAAGAAAAACAATGAAAGAAATTTGTCTAGCTTTACCACCTTTTCGGTGTTTAATTACTCAATTACAGTGATTATACAACATCTAAAGCGGCGGACAAAATAGAGAACATATGCAAGTGAAGATTTCCATATTCATAAGTATTCGTATCATACTATTCATTACTGTACCTTTGAAACAGTGAGATGAAGTTTTTTTAGTATTATATTGTACAGTCCAATGTGTGTAGGGATTTCAAATCTAGTTTTTAGTGTGAGAGTTTATCTTTTCTAAATGGTCAGATATTAAGAATTACAATTGAGAAACAAGGTGGAACTGGTTGCATAAATATATTATGGTAACAACATACTTCACTATAATTGTAAAATATCGTACCTAAAACTATACATATTCTGTTTGCACAAACTAAGTTACGTTAAATTACTGACAAGCTTATACAATTGCAGCATAATCCTATGTTTTTGATCAAACTACGTGTGATTTATCAGAAATATGAACTAAACCTTCTGATAAGTGACACAATGAAAAAGTAACCATGATAAAGTTCAATCATGTTAGATGCTGTTATGAGTTTTGTCACGCTTAGTGTTTGTACCGCGGTTTATTTGTAAACTTTGTAAACTCGATATGATAAGGATTACAATTAATGTAGATATGTCTTTGACATTACGAGGAAACCTACTAGGGTTTTCGATACCATCAAAGTGTAACTTCTTCCTTTCGTATTTGTATTAAAATCTGAGTTCTTGTTAAAATGGGTTAAAGTTATTACCATTTTCCATAACTGGTAATGCTGATCGACCTATAATGAACGTATTCAGGAAGCAGGTTAATTACCTTCATTTCCCTTTGATATCCCAAATGAATGATCGGAATACGTGTTGTGGCACTGCATAATGTTTGCACAATAATCTAAATCGGTGATAAACGTGGCTATCAAAATTGGCTTAGAATTTTTTTTTTAAAGTTCTTTGAGATCGTGTTTTCCTTAAGATTTACCATTATCATAGTAATTTATCCATACGAAATATTTTGCTATAAATTTCACACTGATCTTGATAATTGAACTATCAATGAAATTTCAATGCTTACAACTTATATATCTAATTCATTCCGTCTTTTTAAGTATTTTAGATAAAGACAATATATTTTGTTACTTCAGGAGGTGAAGGGGACGAATCGTAAATTGTTTTTGCATTAAAGTAAGAACATAAATAATTGTTCTGATTTTCTTTTGTTTGTTTATTTATTGTTGCTTTTTTTGGATTAAAAAAAGAAGATATTTTATCGTCATTTAAATCACAAAAAATAACAACAGAATAATAATATATACATAATTTGTCATAATACTACAAAATATTGAAGTTACATTATAGTGAAATAATTTTGTACATCTCCATAAAAATCAAGCTATTACAAATGCATACAAAACCCTATATACGCTTAGTTACTAATTATCACAGAAATATAATAGAATCATATACAGTTGGAAGTTATTACTTATTCATAACAATGTAATATTTTGTGCAATGAATGAGTAATATTACAAAAAGAGCCTTCCGCACACACACATACACATACACACACACACACACGCACACACGCACACAGACAGACACACATACAATGTGACCTATCCACCATCCCTCTAAATACCCAAAACTTTCCAAACTCCACAAATCCCCCCCCCTTCCCTTTCCGAACCCGGCAACATCTACACAGTCGTTGGAAATCCTGTGTCTTCCATGTCCCACTGACCAAATTATATAAAAATGTTTGAGTCTGAGATAGAAATATTTGCAATGTTATCGATACAAAAATCATAAAGCAACATAGGAAAAGATAGTAAGATAGACGGACTAAATTTAGTTACAAGCGCATGTTACATGCAGGAAACTTTAAATTTGAAGATGAAACTCGAAATCCATAAATGAATATTAAACACATTTTGGAAGTCAAAACTTCAAGAAGACATTTCAATGTTAATCAGCAGTTGGCCTACACAAACTTTCCCTATCACAGGCACATGGCAAGGGAAGTAGGATGGGGTGTCCAAAGTTATGTTTACACTTTAATCAAATGAATACTATATTCGATCCACAATTTCTCATATTATACACACAATTATTAGGATCAATTAGTAAAAACGAACGTTAAAATATTAAACTACAAATAGGTGCGATTAGAAAATTTACCGTCCAAAGAATTCCTGCGACTTCGCGATCTCAAAATTAGATATCGAATATGAATGCGCTACAACTAAAGAAAAGATCATACAAACAAAGATACCTTTAATAATTAGCACACGAGAGTGTACTCAAGTGCTTTGACAAAACAAGCGATAATCAAAGGTAAGGTAATTGCATGAATTGCAAATCAACATATCATGCAATCAGTGGGTATCACTGTTTACTAACAATTTTGATGACATCGTCTCTCAAAATGAAGATTTCCAGACCCTTGTCTGTAAGTTCCCTTTTTTCGGAACGGACACAGAGACTGCAAAATTTGCCAACTTTTCGTCAGTATCTATATTTTTTACACCCAATTTCGTTATAAGGTAAGTACATGTTCTTCATTTCATTGGTGAAATCAGAAGTTTGAGATCTTACCGAATATTTTGAGATATGGAACTGTCCACGAATAAAGTTCACGCGCGAACTATGGTCACACCACAATGCGTTTGCAAGAGAAGGTCGAGTTTTGGGCATGAGAAAAAAAGATGAGAACAAATTGCAACCTGTTCAGTTTTTCAAAGTTATTTTGGAAGAAAATCTCCGTAGAATTGTACCCCGAGAAGGGTTGCTCTTCAATTCAATGCAATTCTTTGTATTTCAACCATAAAAATACATATACAATAATTAATGGAAATATAAAAACATGGGGTTAGAAGCCCCAAAATAAGTTTAATACAAACTTGTTATTGGGGGCACCATCCATGACATATATATCGAGAAATTAGAAAAATTTACAAAAACAACATTAACGGGAAAACAAATATATTCAAGAAAAAGATTATAAACACCTGTATGTGAGTATACAACATTTACAACAAAGCACCAGCCATGAGCGCACAAAGAACACTGCGTCAAGCGACACCGTGTCCCTATTCGCACCTAACCCTAACCCAAATGCCCTCACATTCGAAATATCACAATAAACAGCTGAAGGGTTTGGACAATTTAACCTGCCATGCCACATATTTGTGTAATCCCATACACACGATTCCTTGACATGGTATTCAGTGCTAGAGGCTTTCAGCACCTCTGTTCGAATTTCTTATCAGTTGTATGATTTCAAAACCTCACAGTTTACACCAATTGTGTGTGTTACCTCGTATAATTATGATCAACCTTTTTAAATCATGCTAATTGCTTCCGGAAAGTTTAATTCACAATGTAATCTTAGGACCAGAACTCAAGCTTCTTCTTAAGCGGGTATAACATTGTTCATTTGCCGGTTTGATCTCATGCTCTTCTGGACCTTTGCCCAAAAGACCTCCTGGCCTTCTTCATCCTCTGTCCACAACAAATAAGGCTTGTTCCGACTCAGCAAGAGTCTAACAAGGTACGGTAGATGGTCATCATCGATGTCTTCAAGGAAAATCAGGATGACCTTCTCCAACTTGGTGTCATTCATGTGCTCCACTGCCATACGGAGCTTGGTCATGTACCAGGTATCATCTACAGACTGGTTGCTAAGCAACAACATTGTCTTGTGGCTGTTTTCGATGACGTCATAGATGGCGTTCAAGTAGAACAATCCTGGGTGAAGATCGGCATCACCAAATATGACGCGCTCCAGATGAGGCATCCTCTGCTCCAGAAAAGGTTTCATACAGTCATTTACCCACCATTCATCGTCTTCATGGAACATGAGGTTGAGTTGGAATTCATAGTCCTCCGGATTTCGATCTTCAGTGATCTCATGGTAACCAACGATGGCCAACTTCAGGAGATACAACTTATAGTTTATCCACCAACGGTTGAGATACACGAGTATACCGAGGGTTAAAACTAAAATCGGCGCAAAACATGCGGAAACGATAATCATGGTATTGATCCCACAATATTCATCCGGATCGAACGACCAAATTATTTGATTGACCAACACCTTTAAGGAGCTGCTAGAACAACGGGTTTGATTTTTGGGAGCAAGATCTATTTTTCCTTCGACCTCGTTCAACCATTGTCTAAACCAGGCAAGTTGGCAATCGCAGGTCAAGGGATTGCGTGCAATATTGAATCTAATCAAACTTGACGGCATGAAAGTGTTGGAGGCTACGGTCGAAATGTGATTATTTTGTAAGTACAACTGTTCAAGTTCATTTGTGCCCATAAACAGCCCTTGCTGGATGAATTTAATTAAATTATTCTGCAGCTGCAACACCCTTAAATTGTACAAACCTTGAAAAGCGTCCTTGGGAATACTGGTTAAGTCATTGTCTTGCAGACTAAGCTGACGCAGGGTCGTTAAGTTTGCAAATGTTCCTGAGGCAACTTGTTTTATACAACAACTTGTTAAGTCTAGCTCAATAAGATTTGTAAGCGGGGTAAATATGCCAGGAAGAGCGTGCGTGGTATTTAAAGAGTTTTGCCGTAGTTTAAGAATCCGCAAGGAGACCAAGCCTGAGAACAACGATGTCCCTGTCTCTTTATCAACTAAATCCTTAACTTTGAGATTTGACCGCGACATATTGAGAACCCTTAGCGCATGTGCGTTCGTAAACTGGTCACTTGATAAAATTTTCAACGGGCTATATGACATGTCCAGATTAAGTAGATGTTGCATATTTCTGAACGAACCTGTCATGGTAAATTGTTTCGAATTTGACATGTCGAGGAGTTCTAAGGAACTTACTGAAATGAGGGCGTCCTCTGACATCCGAAAAGGATTTGCATTGCCAGAAAAATTAAGTGCTTTCAAATTCGACAACCCAGTGAAGGTTTCATGATAAAGGAAGCCGAAATTGTTTTTTGTAAGAACAAGACTCTGAAGATTAGTTACCTCCCATGGTCTGAACGTGATGATACGGATGCCACTTTGATCTATCACCAGGCTACGAAGAAACAATGATCCGTCAAACCATTGAGGATCCAATGTCACGAGGTTATTACGTGACAAATCAATTTCCTTGAGGTTTGAGGCGCAAGCGAACGAAGCGCGGGGAAGTGACTGTATGCTATTCAAATACAAACTTAGGTTTTCCAGTGCATGTAGGCCACAAAATGATTCATTATTGATGTAAGATATACGATTTCCTCCAAGGCTCAGGACTTGCAGTTTTTCCAGACCACGCAGAGCAAACCCTGGAATATTTTTTAAGATGTTAAAATCTAAAGAAAGTTCTTTAATCAGTGGCTCATTTTCTTTTCGCATCGATGATATGTTCGCTGGATGAATGTACTTTATAATGCCTGAAGATTCAATCAGAAGTCGCTCGATTTCAATATTGCCCATGAAATACTCGACGTCGAAAGTAGGTAAGCTGATATTGTTCATGTTTAGAGTACCTAATTTGGGCAAATGTCTAAGCGCCTGAGGTTGAAGAAACGTCACATTGTTATTATCTACATTGAACTTATCGACAGAGCAATTTCTCCAAGGTAAAAAGTCATCCTCATTTATAGTTGTAAGTTTGTTGAAGGATAGATCTACTACCGCCATATTCCGCCATTCATACAAGTTTCCACACATTTGAGTACTCACCAATGTGCTGGAGATGTTACTGATCTTGTTGTGCGATAGATTTATTATGTATAGAAGAGCATTCTTCTGAAGATAATAGATGGGTAGAAAGGTAATCAGGTTATGATCTAGTTCCAATACTTGCAACTGTGGTAGAGTTTCGAATGTTCCACTATCAATGAAAGCAATTACGTTGTGACGAGCATACAGTTTTTCAAGTTGGTTGTAATTCATGAACGACGTGTTTAAAAGTTCTGTTACTTGGTTGTCACGGATGAATAATACCAGCAGTTCATGCGGAAGGTCTTGGGGAATCGAGGTAAGATTGAGATGAGCACACTTAGCGATGTAACGATCCTTGACTGGGCATGTATAGTTTGGCTGTTGTGAATTGATTGGCATGTCCACTATAACCTTCTGCACGATACCTCCCAAAAAGATTACCATCGAGATCAAGAGTGTTTGCGTCAAGGAATCCATCGTGAGATGAGCCTTTATGATCGTTCTCCACAAGTACACTGAGCTTTTTTTAAAAATCAAATTATCGATAACACTGATTTCCCATACTTGGTTTCTGGAAGAGAAGGTATACTGCTTCAGGTGCTAGCTTAGACAACAGTTCCAGCATTCGTATTCATAAAGCAAATTGTGTTTGTATTAAGAATGAACACCTTTGTTGGCTTAAAGGCTGCATATATGATTTCAGGCAAAATGGGCATAATATGTTTGCTTGCAATGAACAACGCAGTTTCTTAAGTACCGTCTGAGGGCTTCTTATGTTTTGTTAGATTTATGTACTAGACTATTTCCTGCATGAGCTTCCCGTAAGTTGATAGTTGTAAGTTAACACACTCCGTGATTTGGTAAGAGCACTTTATCTCATTCAGATCAGGAAATAACTTGTATCTTACCTCTCTCTCTCTCTCTCTCTCTCTCCCTTCCCTCCCCATCTTGCCCCTCCGTCCACCCCCTCTCTCTCTCTCTCTCTCTTTATTTATCTCTTTCTCTCTCTCTTGCATTCATTATTATTTCTCTCTTTCTTGTTCTATTTATCCCTTCAATTATTTTCTACGTTATTATTATCTTCTTCTTTATATTTTGTGGTCAAGTTGGTTGAATAATCGACTGAAATTGGACAAATGGTGCGAGTGGTGTAGATTTAAAATTTAATCTACCAGATTCTGGACTAGGTGTGCGCACGCATGTGCCTGTGTGCGTGTGATGATGTGTGCGTTCTGACATATTTAGATACTGATCACCTCATGATTTAGTCAGAATCTTCAATCTTTATTCTTTATTTCTGTACGTTTTTTGTCTTCAGATTTGTTATTTTAAGAAAAGTGATCCAATCACAATCAATTTGTATTCTGACATATTTAGGTATTGATCACCTTATGATTTCGTCATAATCTTCATTCTTTGTTCTTTATTGCTTTCTAATCGATTTTGTTTGCAGCAATTTCAGGCCAACAATTTGAGAAAATTGTACAGGACAGCAAAATGGATAATCTTCAAAAAGCTGCCTTCACGGTTATTTGTGAGTTCTCAATTTACTCGTCGTCTTCTTCTGCTTCTTTTTTTTCTTCTTCTTCTTCTTCTTCTTCTTCTTCTGCTTCTTCTTCTTCTTCTGCTTCTTCTTTTTTATTTTTTTCTTCTTCTTCTTCTTCTTCTTTTCTTCTTCTTTTCTTTCTTCTTCTTCTTCTTCTTCTTCTTCTTCTTCTCCTTCTTCTTCTTCTTCTTCTTCTCCTTATTCTTCGTGTCTTTCCTTTTTCCTTTCTTTCTCTTTGTATCTTCTTTCTTTCTTTTTTTTTTTTTTTATTCCGTTATCCCTTTATGAAAATCGCAAAAGTCAATTGTTTATTTAAAGTTGTGATGTTAATTAATCCTAATCTCATGAAAATTGGTATCAAAATGTAAATAATAATAATTTCTTTCATATTATGACCTCAAACTCATGGTGGTTTAAGATTTTCTATATTTCTAAAGTATTCTGACAAGTTATTCCATAAAACAGTGTCCGCATATGAATAATTAATATGACAATACCCTATAAGATTTTGTCACAGTTTAAGGGACACAAAGTAAAGACATTTTACTGTAATGTACCGTGTCCGTGACTGAGCTGATCTCATCCTATATGATCATATTTACAGTCAAGAGCATGTGTCAACCTCTTGCGTTCTACGTTGACTCGCTGTACTGGGCCATGAAGGGACTAGGTACCGACGATGACAAACTCATTCGCATCGTCGTAGGCAGATCAGAGGTAAGTTGGTCATACAGGAGGGATGAATATTTAAATCAGAAAATAATTAATATTTTTCTTCCCCTTTCTTTATCTCTCTCTCTCTCTCTCTCTCTCTCTCTCTCTCTCTCTCTCAATATATATATCTCTCTCGCTCTATCTTTCTCTCCATCCCCCTCTCCCTCCCTATCTCTCTTTATCTTTCTCTCCTTCTCTCTCTCTCTTGCATTTTTTTCCCATTCTCTTTCTTGTTCTATTTTTAAGTCAATCTCCTCTCTCTCTATCTCCCTCTCTCTCTCCCCCTCTCCCTCCCTATGTCTCTGTGTCTTTCTCTCCTTCTCTCTCTCTCTCTCTTGCATTTCTTTCTCCCTCTCTTTCTTGTTCTATTTGTTAAGTCAATCCTTTGTTCCGTTGTAATTTCTTCGTTATGTTTCGTGGTCAAGTTGTTTGAATATTCGACTGCAAGAAATGTGGAAGTAGTAGTAGGTTAGACCCCGTAAAGGGTTTGCAATTACACAATCACAAAATCTCATTTACCTTCATTGCTTCTCTCCATCAGGATACTCGTGATTCCCTAGCAAATATTTATTGTACGATCGGCATATTTTTTATTTATCTATTTATTTATTTATTTTTGTTTGTATTTATTTATTCATTCTATTATTATTATTATTTTATTTTTATTCATTTATTCAGTTAGTTGTTTTTTTTGTGTTTTGTTTTTGTTGTTGTTATTTTTTTTTTTTTTGGGGGGGGGGGGGGGGGGGGGGGGATGGGTGGTCTGAAGAGGCATAATAAAAAGCACAAATGGCGATAAAAATATACGACTATTACGCCATCTACGAGGGAGCATCGCGACGGAGCGAAAGGGTTTCATTTTTAAGTTTCACAATCTCGCTGACGGATTAAATTAAATATATTTCTTCAGTAGATTGGTCTAAATAAATTTATTAGGGCAAGTGGGACATCGGACAATCGTTTCCTTCCGGCCCTTGGCTACGCCACAATTTAAAAAATTGTTTTACCACCTTTTTCAATCAGAGCAAATATTTCACCTTATTTCAACCCACTGCCTACTGGAACCGAGTGGTCCATTTGTTAAGCCTATAGTGGTGAGAGAATTCGGTGATAATCGGGTCAATAAAAAGCTTGATCAGTGACCACCTCGCGTATGATATAGAAAATTTTATTTCTTCCCTTGAATATATTTTGTTTTCCTTTTGAATATATCTTTGGCGTTCTCTCTCTCTCTGGCCTAGATCGACCTGGCTTCCATCAAGACAATGTTCAAGGAGAAATACACCACCACCCTGGCCGCCATGGTCGAAGACGATACCAGTGGAGACTACAAAAATGTTCTCATTGGTCTCATCAACGCCGATGCTGCACCTACCCCAGCCCCCACCACCACCTAAAGACCGGATGGAGTCATTCCTTACGTATTATGAAGAAAATAACTTTACCACGATTATAATTACTAAGCCACCTTATAAATAGCTGACATTAATAAACCGTGTACTCTCATAACATCACAGGCGCTAAAAGCTCTGGGCAAGGAGTTAATAATAAGGGTGGCTAATTTGGACAGGTAGATAGGTGACCACTAAGACTACAAATGTTAGCTACATGCATCTGACAAAACTCAATGTCTGATGAAGTGGCGATGTTTCCATTTATATCTACCTTGATGCCATATCATTCCCATGTGAGGTTATGAGAGTACACGGTTAATTACTAGGAGCAATTCATAAGCTGGTTTAGGGTTTATAATCTAGTACAGTTAGAATTGTGACTATTTCACAATGCGGTACAGTCTAATACCGTCTGGAAGTGGTGAAAAGGGTGCTGGAGTACACTAAAACCAAGGGATATTAGATATTAAGTATATCGGGGCATGTGCAAATAAATGTTACGTACATGTATATAGCCCATTATATCATAAATTAACTGTGCTTAAAACAGTCTGAGATCCCTTTCTATTGTTATATATGACGCTAGCGTTTCGTATAATTATAATCAAAACTCTTGACATAATAGTATACTATTGAAGAACTTGTACAGTACATAGAAATCTTTGGTTTTATTGGATAAAAGTAGGTGAGTATTTAATATAGATGTAAATTAGAATGCACTGTGGTTTGATCTCATTTCTGTTCGTAATATATTGAAATATTCCGAGGGTGTTGTAGAGTCTTGACCTTTGGAATGTTGTGTAGGATTAAGCAATCATACATCCATGGCAATAATATGAACACAAGCTTTATAGAACAGAAGCTCTAAACATTTCAATTAAGGCCCATTCATTGAGATACATATATGGTCCAGGGCATTTACGTGATTTTAAGGATAAATAACACATTTAATCCAACAGCAACAAAAGAAATGAAAGAAATTTGTCTAGCTTCACCACCTTTTCGGTGTTTAATTACTCAATTACAGTGATTATACAACAGCTAAAGCGGCGGACAAAATAGAGAACATATGCAAGTGAAGATTTCCATATTCATAAGTATTCATATCTTACTATTCATTACTGTACCTTTGAAACAGTGAGATGAAGTTTTTTAGTATTATATTGTACAGTCCAATGTGTGTAGGGATTTCAAATCTAGTTTTTAGTGTGAGAGTTTATCTTTTCTAAATGGTCACATATTAAGAATTATAATTGAGAAACAAGGTGGAACTGGTTGCATAAATATATTATGGTAACAACATTCTTCACTATAATTGTAAAATATCGTACCTAAAACTATACATATTCTGTTTGCACAAACTAAATTACGTTAAATTACTGACAAGCTTATACAATTGCAGCATAATCCTATGTTTTTTTTTATTAAACTACGTGTGATTTATCAGAAATATGAACTAAACCTTCTGATAAGTGACACAATGAAAAAGTAACCATGATAAAGTTCAATCATGTTAGATGCTGTTATGAGTTTTGTCACGCTTAGCGTTTGTACCGCGGTTCATTTTTAAACTTTGTAAACTCGATATGATAAGGATTACAATTAATGCAGATATGTTTTTGACATTACGAGGAAACCTACTAGGGTTTTCGATACCATCAAAGTGTAACTTCTTCCTTTCGTATTTGTATTAAAATCTGAGTTCTTGTTAAAATGGGTTAAAGTTATTACCATTTTCCATAACTGGTAATGCTGATCGACCTATAATGAACGTATTCAGGAAGCAGGTTAATTACCTTCATTTCCCTTTGATATCCCAAATA